TTGCAGCTGTACTGTGATGCATAATTGATTCACTTAGGTATGGTCTAGGTGAGGAAGAAGCAAGCAAATATTCATGTTTCCCCCAGCCATCTCTAGAATTAAAAATGTGCATTCTGTAGGAGTGCTTTTTTTCTCATGAGTGTCACAGTTTGAGCCCAGAGGGCAACTGAGCACCAGACAGCCGTTCACTCGTATCTTTCCCTCTCAGGAGTGGGAAGGAGAGAATGAAGCACAAGGGATCAGGAATCCAGATAAGGTCAGGGAGGTGTGGCTCATCCATTATGGTCATGAGGAAAAGACAGACTTTTAAGGGAAGAAATAGGAAGAACTTTAATTCAACATCTAACAAAGACAACACTTAACAGACAAGGTGGGACTGGGAGAAGCACCACCATATCCAAAACCATCTCCCCCCACCCTTCCCTTCTCCCTGGGCTCAGCTCTGCTCCCCATCTCCCCACCTCCTCCCCCAGCGGCGCAGGGGGCAGGGGATGGGGGTTACGGCCAGCTCGCTGCTCCTTTCTTCTCAGGAGGTGGGGAGAACGCTTGCACACCCCTCCCCTGCCCCCCGGGGCTCCCCTCTCCCTGCAGACAGCCCTCCGGGAACCTTCTCCGCAGTGAGCCCTCCCCACGGGCCGCAGCCGCTCCCGAGCTGCTCCGCCGTGGGTCCCCCCCGCGTGTTGCAGCCCCCCCAGCGCCGAACCACAACCGCGGGGGCTTCTCCCCGCAGAGCCCCAGCTTCATTTAAGTGCAGCCACTTGTCCTGGTGTGGGCTCCTCCAGAAGCTTCTTCAGCCCTCAGGTCGGCCTCTGCTCCACCACAGGCCTCCACGGGTGGCAGGGGGGCGGCCCTGCCGTCTCACCGCGGGATGCAGGGTCTCTGCTCCAGCGCGCTTCCCCCACGTCCTTCTCCTTCCTTCCGCTGACTTCTGTGTTCGTCCTCCTCCCAACTCCTTCTCACAAGCCCCAGCCCCCTCCCAGGTTCCCCTTCTTAAATAGGTTCCTTCTGAGGCGCAGCCACCGTCACTGACAGGCTCGGCCCTGGCCAGAGGTGGGTCTGACTTGGAGCCGGGGGAGCTTCGAGAAGCTGCTCACAGGGGGCACTGCTGTAGCCCCCTCCCTGCTACCAAAACCCCGCCACGGAAACCCAGCAGAATGAGTTTACCTTGAAGAAATATATTATCAAACTATGACAAATAATAAGCTTCTCTACTGTGCAGGGAGCATGGAGGCTTTCAACAAATCACACTTTTCTTACATTGCTTTGGAGAACATGGTGAACCAAGGTAACCTGATGATGGAAAAGCAGATATTGTATCTCAGTGCTTGGGGTCTGTAGAATATTTTATCCACCGCTGCACAATAAAAGCTAAGATGTTACTGGGTGAGGAGGAGCACTGTACTTGTAACAGCAAAGACATGTAATCCTGTTCAAAAGCAGCATGAGTCAGACTTGCTTAAATGCAAACGTTGTCCTGTTCCTAGTCCTACTCGCTGTGTATTAGCCTGGATCCGGTGTGAATACAGGTGACTGTCAGCACTGGAGAAGATGAAGTCTTACCTTGATTTTGAACTAATTCCTACTTTTAAATCTTGTTAAATGTACTCAAATAGTTTATCAGCACTAATTAGGATTTTAATGCATATTTCTAGATCGCAGAAGAAGCCTACAGGAATAACACTGCCTCCACCTATCCTCAGCCCAAGGACCTAGAAGCCTTCATCCGCTCTCAGGTTTACAGTACTGATTATAATAGCTTTGTGGCTGACTCCTATACCTGGCCTGAAGAAGCCATGAAAGTGAAACTGTAAATATTTAATGAAGCGTGAGCAAACTATCAGCAGTTAAAAAGCATTAAAATATTCAGAATGTTTCTGCCTAGGAAGCCTAAGAATAGCTAATTTTTTAAGATGCAGAAAACTTTTTTCTAAATGGTAATATTTGGTTAGAAACTCAGATCAAGAAATCATATGAATTATACATCAGAAAATAAAAATTAATCTGAGAAATTGTGTTGTTTGGTTATTTTGATTGTTATTTTAATTGAGATACCTGACACTATAATTTGACAGATTTTTTTTTTATTGAAATAAGAGGTAGTATCTTGAGAATTCTGTCACAAAAGTCAATGAGAACTTAAGCAGACAAATGGTACCATGGAAAATTAAGAAATGGGTATAATGACTGTTTAATCCGTTACAGGTCACAGTGTAATTTGCATAAATTGTCAAGCTATTATCTAAAAAAAAAACTCCAAACTTTAAACAACGGTACGGTTAGAATACTTTAATCCAAAGAAAAGTGTTATTGGTCACTCCTCTGTGGAGCAATGAAAATTTTCTAACAGGAATGGAACTGCAGAACCTTTTGTTCACATCTACTTAGAATATTTTAACATTACGTAGCTAAGCTAAAATCCTGTAAATGATGAAAGGTTTCACTCCCCCAAGATAACTGCTGTTCTGACACGCTGCAGTTGTTTGGCCTAAAGTTCATGGAAGTGATTGGACTCCATGTCCTTGATAAAAAGGGAGTATCAAAATGTTATGAATAGGCTCCTTTTGACTAAGTGCTTTCTTACAAACATCAGTTTCCTGGCTAGTGGCAGAGGGTTTTGTGTATTAAACCTAGTGAATTCCTGTAGTATTTGAGGCCAGTGTATTTTTAAACACACATCATATGTGATAATTATTCTTTGTAACAAACTTCCAAATCACCCAGCTGAGGTCTACTAAATGACTAATTATTATGGGGAAGAGTCCATCATTATCAGGGGGGCAAACACATTTTAATAATCCTTTACTGATTATTTCTCTCACTACTATTTGAGAGATTTGGTTAGCTCAATTTCTTCAGTATGGTCCTTAAAATAGTTTTTTACAACTTCACTGATAATTCAGCATGCTGAATATGCTCATCTATACACTAATTTCAACTAAAGATATAGTCTTACTTTTTTTTTGCCCTTTCTCATCTGTCTACTGGTTATCAAAAGTGTCACCCCACAGCGACCCTTACTCTTCTACAAAAATGTGATTCCTTCTGCAAACCTCACCAAAAGCATCCAGGGACACTACTCATGACCTGCATTATTCTGGACTCATAATTAGCATTTCCAGAAATAAAAGTTACAAGTCTGTGGTTTTCCTTGGGAGGATACACAATTGGATTGTACTATCGGTGTTTTCTTCCTTTAGAAAAAATGAACAAACAAAGCTTGTGCTCAGAATGAAGCTTTAGACAGTTCTATCTCTGAGTTGACCATCCTCCTGCACAGACTTCCTGACCTATGCCAGTGTTGCCTTTCCCGTTTCCTTCTGGTTGAAATCTCATGGATAAGGCCTATTTCTAAACGGGTTTGCTCTGCTATTTTAAATTAAAAAGTTTATCACTTGGCAACTTCCCAACAGGACTGAATGCAAACTGGTTTACTATTTTTGAGTTATGATCATGTGCAATCTGCACTCATACATCAATGTTCTAAAAGAAACCCCAAAGTATTATTAGTTGTTACAGAATTACCACTTGAAGCTAAATGTAATGTACTTTCTGGACAGTTCTGGAAACAAAGTGTACTTGAACATTTTTTCTACTCTCATGCTGCAGAGATTATCTCTACAAAACCAAAAATCAACTTTATTTGTCCAGCCCCTCAGCTCTGCTGCAGCTGCATACTGCAGGTCCTGCATTCAGAAAGAGGAGAGGCACTTTCTCCCTCATTGCATAATGGGAACCTCTCAACGCTTTTTGCCTTACTGTGCTTTTGGCCACAGTTATGAACATACAAACAATACACTTACCACAGTGAAGGAATGCATGTTAATCATCATTCTGAGCAACAAGAAACACTGCCGTCCTCTGTATTTCAATATATTGCTATTATGAGAAGTGTAGTAAAATACTTGTGTTTTATTTGAAATAAAATGCTATTTTTTTTAGTTGTCAGCTGGGTGTACTGAAACAGTCTTTAAATAGCTGCTATCGAAATGGCCTGTTTTTTAGATTTGAACAGCCAAACCTCTAGAGCTCAACCATGAGTCTGCTTTTATTGCTTGGTACAAATTTTCCTATTATGGTGCTCAGTGACAAAGTGGAAGGTGGTAAGCTGGTGGTTCTGAAGGCACAGCTACTGGGGACTTTTCAGTAACATTCTTCATCTGCATATTATACTAATGACATTTAAATATGACAATCCATTATAAACTGGAAGACTGAATTGCAGTTCACTACCTCAATACACACTCAGCACATGACCCCGTAGGAAACTGCTGTCTAATGAGCCCATTAATACCATTTCCTGTTACAAGGTGCTGGAAAATTGTCTCTCAATACAAATTTGACATAGAAAAGATGGATAAAATTATTTTTATTTAGTATATAAATACAGGGTTTTTTCTTATTTTCTGCATTTTACATGCATTTCCTTATGTAATGTAGGGGAAAAACAGAGGAAACACTAAGTTTTGTCTCATCTTACACATTTTCATTTTCAAGGTGCTTGGCCTAACAATGTAAATATAAAATGCCATGAGTTGAGCAGCTGAAGAATTGCTATTAACATAACCAGACTGTAATGAGACGATAGGAAGAGGATTGCAAAAATGGTGATATTGGCAATTTAATTGTATAGGTTCTACCCAAAGTATAAAAGGGATGGGGTGATGTGGGCTTCTTTCTCCTTCCCCCCACCCTTTATTTAAAAGCAAGACTTGGTCCAGTGGTTGGACCCAAGACTTTGCATTTCATGGATTAGTTGAATGAAGTGAGAGCAGATGCTTTGTGAAACAGTAAAAGACATCGCACGCACTGACTCATGAACGTAGTGGTGAGGTTTCCTTGAGCTGGGTGTGCTTTTGTATTGGAAACCACATTTAATCTGTGACTGCAGCCACTTTGGTATCCCACAGTTGTATGTGGAAGTTAACGACAGGTCTGCACCACAACTCAGTAACACACAGCACAGTATAGGTGAGGAGACACAAGTGCGTAATTCAGGATACTACAGTGTAGGATGTTTATTACCTTGCAAGCACTTTGAGGTGTGGCTCGAAGTGACAAATGCCAATTTCAGAAAATAAGTAAATGCCCCTCAAAAATATGTGGCAATTCAGAACAGAAGCTAAGGTTAACTACTTGAGCCATTCTTCTCGTATGGAAGTTTCCCTTTTCACAGTAGCGATAAGGCACAATATTTCAATGTTAGCATCATCTCTTGCTGTCCAAAATCAGAACTTCTTACAGAGTTTCTCTTACCTGTCTGAAAGTTTGCCTTTGACACCAAATAAAATCTGAAAAATATGTCCACTCTGGTGCTGCTTCAGGAATTCTAGGAACTGGCCAAGATCCATGTGATAGTCATTCCTCAGGCCATAATCACCATGTGCCTGAAACTGCAGGTCTTCAAAAGCATGAAAGAGACGAAGATTATCGATGCTTCCCTCTGTTTCTATATTCTCCACATGCTTGCATGAAATATGTTTCCAGTTGGGATACCTAATAACACGCCAGAACTCTTCACAGTTTTCTTGGCATCCCTCCACGCAGATGACACCAGGTTTCCCTGTCAGGCAGAAGCCAGTCAGATTTAACTTCTTTGCACAATCAAAAATCTTTTTCCTGAGTTCCTGCCTATATATATGATGGCTGTAGATCCACATGCGATGCAATGTTTCTTTAACTACGACTTCTGCTGAAGTACTTCCAGAAGACAGCTGACTGTTTTTCAAATAAGGCAGGCTGTTGTCTTTCAGCCATTGCACAGCTTCATATATACGCAGTTCACCTGAAGCCAACGAGCTGATGTGAGAAGCGAGACCAGTGTTGAGCTGCAACTGTTGCTGCCTCTGCAGTGCATTTGATCTTGCAAAAAGCTCAGGAGCTACCTGAGGATACATATGAGGCAGCAGTACCTGCAATTCCACTTTTTCCTTAAAAAAAGAATACACACACACAAACGGAAAATGAATTCTGTAGCTACTGAAAGACATGCTAGTTTCTTCTTCCCTGTCAAAGGCAAATTATGAGGACATGTAAGTAAGACTGCAGCACCCTGAAGACTAGAAATATTCCGCTCTTCCTTTTGACCCCATAACATGTTCTTTTGCCTGCTCCTCTTCTTTTTTTTTGCACCCAGCTGTGACTTTCCCCACACTATCAAGGTTGCTCTCTTCTGCTGTGTACAGGCATTGTTCCGTGGCTTGAAATAAGATACACGGTTACCCCCTGGGGATATTTCTAGAGCATGTTCTCAACACATGCTCAGTGCTGCTACAGCGATAAACCACCAGTGTGTCAGAGTCAAGGAGCAAGCAGCTTTTGAGAATCTTGTCCCTGATCAAACGCACATCTCTTCAATGAACTCAGCACAATTGCTGGATCTACCCCAGGAAAACAAGGCCAACAGTTATACAAAACAGTGTATATATTGTACGTATTATATATAGAGGCATTATTATTATTATTTTAAACAAGTATTCACCCTAACAGAGGAAGCCTTCTCAGGATTATAGGGGATAAAAAGATTTATGTGCCTTTTAGGCCAGGGAAACCTCTAGATTATCTTGCCCAACCTCCTAGAAACCACAGGCTGTTGAATTTCTCTTGATTATTCCTACAATGTCTTAAAACACAAAAACACAGTTCTTTGGAAACTGAACCCTGCCTCTGATCCAAGAGCAGAAGAGGATTCATGTGTCCTCAGTGCTTAAGGCTCCTGTATACCATTAGGGGACTTCCACTGCAGTATACAATCATATGATTAATCCAGCAGAGAGATGTGAATCATGAAATGGCTAATTATTTTTCCAAGTTCCTTGACAATCTGCTGCAGAAAAAACATTCTTCCTGCACAAGCCCTCACTACACAGTTCACAAAACCTCTTTGAAGGCTGGCGAAATGATGCATTGTAGAAAGATACCTAAGCTTGTACCTAAATTTCCAAATAATCATGAGGCCACCTTGTTACTCAAATTGTTCTGTTAATTAGCTTTATTCTGAGGAAAATGGCTTCTAGGTTGAGTGTGTCTGTTCTCAATTTCCAGTCATTGCATTAATATACACTAAGATCCATGTTCTCTATGCAAGTATTTACATCACTTAGTTGTCATATGTAACCTTTTCTTCAATTGGATAAACCATTGGAACTCCTTATACTCTAAGTTTTGTTTCCCTGTTCATAGGCTGGTTCTGTTTCAGTGTTTGTGTGACTCGCAAGAGTGTTCTGCCATTTGGGGCTATTTTTACATTGCTGTATTCAAATACAGATCAACGAATGTTAGTACATGTGGCAAGGGGTAGGAGAGAGAAGAGGGCAGTTTTGCTAGAATGATGTAAAGTCCAACATATGTATTTCCATGCAGGGAGCACTGCCTTTGTAACACACAACTCTGTAAACCAGTAAAGTAAGAACCCTCATATAAGCACAACTCTAAGCTCTTGTGAATGCTGTGTGTGCCGCTGACGTCAGGTGTCTATTCCTATCTGCAATTCTACTAGCCTTTCTTGCCCAAAGAAAAGCTCAAATAAATATTAAAAACCAAGACGTTTTTGCTACTCTTGACTTTTGAAACAGCAAACAGAAATTGGGTGGGGTTTTCCCCTTTTTTTCAGGGCAGTGTTCAAGCGTGTGCACAAGGAGTAAAGAAGACAACACCCATTAAGATATATATGTGGAAGTTCTCACCTTTGCCTCCCCTACATCAATAGCGATGGAATATTCGAGCTGCGGGGGCAGCGCTCCATCAGCGTTTCTCAGGTAGCGCCGCACGCTGGGCACAGCGCCCTCATCCAGATTGATTTCACCCTTTTTGGGAAACATCGAAAGGAGCATCTCCACTTCCAGCAGCTGGAGCTCCAGGCATTCTTTCACCGCGGCAGCCATTGCACCGCCCTCCACACACGCCCGGAGCGAGTCAAACCCCGGAGCTGAACACCCTGTGAAGCTTAGCACCACCAGCCGGCCTCCGCCAGGAAACCTCGATTTTTTATTTTTTTTTTTTTTTTTTAAGGGCAGAGGTCTGATTAAATACGTTTGGGTACAAACGCTGAGCCGTCAGTCGCCCACAGCCGCGCGCCGCAACCAAGCCGGAAGAGGGGAGGCGGCGCGGCACCGCGCATGCGCGCCGGCAGCCGCGGCAGGGCCGCCTGCCTTTTCCAGCGCTCATCTCCCCGCTCCGTTTCAAATCCTCACGGATTTAACAAGGCGTGAGTCAGAGCCTGAAGGCTCCCGCCTGAGCTGAGCTCAGCTTCCCTCAGCGCAGCCTCTCCCGAAAGCCTTGGCCGGGAAACCCAGTGCGGGGGAGAGCCCTTGGGAGGGGCGGGCGGCGCTGAGGGGAAGGAATGAAATGGCGGCGGGCCGAGGTAGGGCGGGTACCCCCACAGAGGCGGGCGCGAAAGAGGGCGAAGAGGGGAAACGCCACGTTTACTTGTCCGTGGGTTGGCAACAGGGAAGCCCGTCCGCGGCGTCAGTACAGTCGTGCCGCCGCAAGAGAGCGCCGATTCGCGCTTGTTCCTGACGTACGGGTGCGATGACGAGAAAGGGGGCGTGGCCCCCGCGCGCCGCGTGGCGGCGGGGTGCCCGCCCACCGCGTGCCCGTTGGGCGAGCGCGGCTTGGGGGCGCCCGGCCCGCCCCGCGAGAGCGGTGGCGGGCGGGCGGGTCGGTCCGGTGGGTGCTCCGGTCGCTGCTCCGGTCGCTGCTCCGGTCGCTGCTCCGGTCGCTGCTCCGGTCGCTGGCGGGTGGGCCCGGGTGGGCCGCGACGTCTTCGGCCGTGCAGGGAGGTGGCGGCTGGAGCCGCTGAGGGGGAAGGGGAAAGGCGGGGGGGGGGGGGGGGGGTGTGTCGTGTGTCCGGCTGGCCCGCCCCGGCGGTGCGGTGAGTCCGTGGGGAGCAGCTTCGCGGAGCCGTGGGCTGAGCAAAACGCCCAGGCGCCGCTGCTGGGGTGCTTCCCTGGGGCTGCGAGGGCTTGAAGAGGGAGGACGGGCTGCTTCCTAACGCAGGAGTTAATATATGGAGACGTGGCTGGCGTTGGAAAGGGCTAGCCCATTGCCATAACTTTGTTAGGATCCCTGGATCCGGCCGGTTGAGAATTGTGGCTCTCCTCACCTAAATCACATCATCCCTTCGTCACCTGGTGAAGTCTGGTCGAGTTCTGTTCATCTAGTGCTGTACTGGGAATGTCGAGGCTCCTTGATGGATTGCTCTGGTAGCCGTCCCCCCTCCCAGTCCCACCAAGGGATTTGATGAGAACGGTTTAAGGTATCCATGGGCTTCAAAATTAAACAAATTAATGCTGAATTATATTACAATGAACCTAATTATAATGACTTCTCTAACGTGCATCTGTGTTACTTCCTTCTCTAGAAATGGATCCTGAAGCCCTTAGAAAATACTCAGCGTTACATCCTAAACCTGCTGGACTTATTCTCCAGTATGGCACCGCTGGATTTCGCACCAAGGCCGAACAGCTTGATCACATCATGTTCCGCATGGGCTTGCTGGCAGTTCTCAGGTCCAGAGCCGTGGTATCTACCATTGGCGTCATGGTTACAGCATCTCACAATCCTGAAGTAAGAATAACCTTTTCTTTAAAATGAAAGTAGACATGATCAATCTGGTGGAATCAAAGCTTTTCATGGTATCGACAGACCACATCCTGAAGGCACTTGGACCTGCTCAGAGCATATGTTTAGCCTGCTCCCTGTAAATATGATCTCTGGCATGCTTGAAGTTGCTTTTCCCTGTACACACAAGAGTCACTTTCTCTCGTGGGGAAATGCTGTAATGTAGGAAATTTATCATGTTGGCAAGCTAGGAGTATCCTTCAGAAGAGATGAACCTTTGAGCAAAATCTGCAAGTTTAAAAAATAGAGATGCAGCAATTAAAAATCCAGCATTTAGACTTATGCTACTGTGGAGCATTCCAGATTATTAGAATGTCCCTTTATGTCATTTTAATGTCAAATGAATTTCATACCAAAATTATAAGGAGGGGATAAGTTGGTTACTTAATATGCTGGTTATGTTACTTTTTGGGGCTTGGTGGTGGTTTCAACAAACAGCTAAGCAATTGCTTCCCAGAAACACTCCACATTTAAAGCAGCGGTGTGATTGGACCATGTATCAGCTGTCTTCAAAGAGATTTTATTAAGTTTCCCACTTTCAGGCTTACTATTTTTTGGTCTTTTTTCTTCTAAGGAAGATAATGGCGTAAAGCTGGTTGACCCTCTTGGAGAAATGCTTCACCCTTCCTGGGAAGAGTATGCTACACAACTAGCAAATGCAGAGGAACAAGACTTACCGAGAATAATAACTGAGATCTGCCAAAAAGCAGCAGTGAACCAGCACAAAGATGCTTCGGTTTTTATTGGTAGAGACACCAGGTAATTACAAAATGCATGGATATATGCTGCTTTTATGGAAGTGCCAACATTTTGTTCATGGGTGCTTTTGGACGTCTAGCCCTCCTCAGCCAGATTATGCTTTTATTTTTTGTGCCTCGTTTTCTACCTGTTAATTTATGATTATAGCAATAAGCAATAGTTTTCCAATGCTGTTCCTGTATTAGCTTCCCTGATAGTTATGAGACCCTCCTAGCACTGTTTCTGAACAGGATGCTTTACTGTGGGTTTGGTTTGGGTTTTTTTTTTGTGGGTACTGTGTAATGTCCATGTGTGCTTGGCTGTTTACTTGTCTTTGCAATTCTCTGGGGTGGTGGCTTTCAAATTTCTTTATTGGGAGGTGACTACAATAGAAAAAGGTATGGATTTCTTTATATTGAATCTAAGTCTACTGGCAGGAAGATTGTAGAGTCTTCTTCCACATGTGCTTCCTTCCCAGGTCCATACATATATGTCTACTGCAAAGGTAATCAGTTGTATCTGTTGTTTTCCAGGCCAAGCAGCAAGAAACTTTCACAGTCAGTAATAGACGGTATCTCCGTTCTAGGTGGTCAGTACCACGGTATGTTAAACTTTTGCAATTCTAGTCTGATTTCAAGTTTTTAGGTAAAAGTGATTCTGTTATGTAGACCTAAAACAGTAGCCCAGACACAGTTTCCATTTTTGCTTATAACAATCTTCTTTCAGGGCAGTTGTATGGCTTTAATGCAAGGTGGGGGGTTTCGTCTTTTCATAACAAAACTTGAAAAATTTCATATGGGTTTCCAGCACTGCATTTGCCTGTTTATTGTAGAATAGCAACTACTGTGCCACTTCTAAGGAGGGATTAATTTAGTATTCTATTTCTGAATATTGTGCCTTTTGTTTTATGCCAGATTATGGTCTGCTGACAACACCACAGCTACATTACATGGTCTGCTGTCAAAATACCCAAGGGCAGTATGGGAAAGCAACGCTTGAAGGTTATTATGAAAAACTATCCAAAGCTTTTTCGGAACTGATAAAACAGGTGAATACTGGGTGTTGTCTTCTTCATGCAAATGTACAAAATGAGTATCTTCAGATTCAAACAGGCTAACAATCAGAAGTTTTGAATTCAGCATGCCTCTAGATGTGGTTTCACTAGGGTATGAGTTCACTTTGCCCTTTCTTCCTTGTGCTAAGTCTCCCAGCTCCGGAGAGAGTCAGAGGCACCTGAAGATTGACTGTGCCAATGGAATTGGAGCCCTGAAACTATCAGAAATGGAGCCCTACTTACCAGAGGAGGTGCTAATTCACCTATATAATGATGGAACCAAGGAGAAACTCAATCACTTATGTGGTGCAGATTTTGTGAAAGTTCACCAGAAACCCCCTAGAGGTATGTAGTCAGTAATTTGATATCCTTTTTCCTTCTCTCCAGATCTGAAAGTGCAGGGTCTATCAATGGTGTATCACCTTTGGATAAGATGAGCTCCCTGTCTCTTATTAAATGACTTAATGAACGGTTCTGCTTGAGCAATGGAAAGGGAGAGTTGTATGGCTGGTACATGCATAGTTTACGTTAGTCTAAATTATTTGGAGGAGTACAGTATGTCCCTGACTGTTTGAAATATGTTTGACAATCTGGTCTGAATGTTAAGCTGGCTGAGTTCAAAGATCAGACAGGACTGGCTTGCTGTTATTTACTTTACTTCCTTTGTGTTATCAAGAAACATTTATATTGTGGGCTGGGGTTGTAGACACTTTTCCAGGTTCCTGAGGAAGAGCTGGGATAATTAACAACTTGGTGCCAGCAGACTGACTGGCTGATAAACCAGTGAGGGAAATTATTTCAAGCAGTTTCCTGCAAAGTGCATAAAAGAAAATCCCTGGACTGGGGGATCAGGCTAGTTTGGATATTAGGTTATTTGAGGCTAAACTGGGTTCTCCATTTGACAACTGCACCCTCACTGCAACTGCTAACTAAATTTGAACACCAAGGCATGTTGTTGCCATGCTGCCTGCATGCTGGAGAAATGTAGAAAGGGGAGGAGCACAGCAGCAGTCCCTGCTGAGGATGGAGGCTTGTGTGTCATATCTGGATCCCAGCTTTAACTGTGACTGAGGGGAGACTCCTTGCTCACTTCCATGCAGGGGATATGCTCTGAAAATAAAATGCGATTTCCTAATAATTCACGGAACTAAATGATCAGATTTCTCGGGAGTGTTAAGCAGTAACAGCTTCCTGTTTAAAGTCATAGGGAGTCTCAACCTGTTAAATGTTGCAGTTGCCATTACCTCATGCTTTAGCTTGAGGACCTCAATGGCAGTGTGATATATTGTCCTGTATCAGTGTGGGCATGCAGGAGAAGAAACAGGCAAGTTTTGGGGTACAGTTTCCTGTGCTCTGAAGGATGAGGTGTTCAGCAGTGTGGGCCAGTTTTCCTGTCTGCTTGTGTATTAAAATGTTTTTTTCCAAGAAGGGGTTACAGGATTCAGTGTGTCCTTTGGAGCTCCCTGCTGAGTTCCTGACAGGCTCTGAAATCAGCCTAGGGAATGGCCAGCTGCAGTTTCTGCGAAATGTACTCTGAGGTTAATGTGGCCAGCATCTTAAAGAAAGGCAAGATGTACCTTAATAATAGAGCAGTTCATTTTTGTGTGGCATTGCTGTGTCAGGTGGTGACTGCTTCCTAGCTATTTCTCTATGGGCATTAAGCCTGGAAAGTTTCTGAGACAGGTACTTCTTATGTATTATGTACATTGCTGTATCAATTGAGTATCAAGGGAACTAAACACAAGCCAGCAGATCTACTTGTATGGTTTTTGTACAGCTCTGAGAAGTCTTGGTGATGGTTGCTTTGGTGTGGGGTTGTTTTTCAATGATAGGATTTACGTGCCACCTCCTGTTGCAATTGTGCTTCAGTGATGGCTTTGCTGGCACGGGGGTGCACGCTTGTCTCACGTTGGGAAAGCGTGTCTCCTGTGCAAAAGGAAGCAAAGAGGAGGTGCAGATCAGTCAGATGGGAATGGGATAAAATTAAACAGGCCTGAAATATTTCCTGAAACAAAAGCATTTTTGATGCAAGGGAAAAATAGTTAATTCCCATGTGTCTTAGAGGGTGAAGTAGGTAGTAGTGTAACACCAAGAGTGTGCGGTGGACCTGCCACGTGCCAGGACATGCAGGTGACAGGGCCCTGGAGCCCTCCTCTGCCCCAGCGTGGTTTGCCTCCATGCCCAAGGGCACGCAGCGTGCCGTGGCCCTGCTCTGAGGAGTGGTAAGGGAGGGCTGGGCAAGCACCCCGTGCCCAACCGAGGTCAGCTTCGGGCTCCTGGGTGGGTGTGGGGCAGGCCCCCCCCGTTCTGCAAACACTGGCTCGCTCTGCTGCGTGGCGGGGGAGGGCGATTCGCCTCGGCCTGCGGGTGGCTCTGCGCTGACCAGGGACGTGAGAAAGGGGGTGAGTGTTCTGCTGCTGCAAGGTTTTTAACCTTGTGCCATAACTGACATCCAGCGCTTATTTCCCAAATTTAGAGATGTGACTACACGCAGTAGTTCTGGGACTGATTTTTGTATACATCTGGGGAGAAGGTGTAGCATAACAAGTGCTTAGAGAACCTGCATTTCTGATATTAGTATTTATCGTTTTGGTCTGAATATGCACTTTTCAGTTGCCATTTAAGACAGCTTCCCTGTTGCAAGTCTCTCAGTGAAAGCAATGCCTGTTTCAGAGCAGTAGTTTTGTGTGTGTGACTGCACAGAGCTAACTTCCACGTGAAATCCATACTGGGACTAATTTAAACATTTTGTATCTTTTTCTACCTCTAACTTGCACTCGTAACTCTGTGTGCACTAGGGCTAGACATGGAGCCCAATGAGAGATGCTGCTCCTTTGATGGTGATGCAGATAGAATTGTTTATTACTACAAGGATGCAACTGGACGTTTTCACCTAATCGATGGAGATAAAATTGCAACTTTAATTAGTATATTCCTTAAAGAACTTCTTGCCAAGGTAATTCTAATGTACAAAATGAATGCTGACACTTTAATTTATAATGTGTAAAATAGTCTATGGAAGCTGTGTTAGCTTGTATGTATGTGGTCTCTCCACATCTACCTAAAGTGAGCTCAGTTTAAAAAGAAATCAGTCCTGTACCTCACTGATTATGGCCAAAATGTTGTTTTTACAAGGGTATGACTTCCACACTCCAAATAAAAATCTGAGCACTGATACTTTAAGCTGTAACCTTCTCTTAGTGGGTGAGAAGTTTTCCAGTTTTGGTATACAAAGTATTGATATTCCATTGTCTTTGTTTTGGCATCTTACAATAACTTTTCATTAATTTGGGGTTCAGTCCTTCCCTCAGCATTTCTGTAAAGCTTTATGAAGGTTGGGAATTCCATCTGCATGCGAACTTGGTTGTGGCAGTCAAGGGGTTTGTACGTTATCATTCCAAAGCCGCTATCTGCTGCAGAGCATCCTCTCCCTACATGGGACAGAGAGAAAAAGATTTTCCTTTTCAGAAGTCCTCTTAGACTTGGTGTCTGTGATACCAAACCTGGACAAGGTATCCTGGTTTTGTTTTCTTAGAGACCAGCTCATTTCTTACACTGTGGCAGAGAAGCTGGCCAGTGAGGAGAACTTGTGCTTGCCACCAGCCTTTGCTTGGCTCGCACTGGGAGCTTTGACTGTGCTGTTTGTGTGTATGGCCTCATGTAATGCCATGTGTCTGGCCAGTGCACTGAGCTTGCTGAATCTGAGAAGGGGGTTTGGAAAGCCTAAGCTCAGAGAGCTGCTTCAAGGCAGCCACAAAAAAACACGATCTGCCAAATCTTGAACAGAATTTGCGTTTTCTTAAACGGAGAGAAGTTCTCTGTGAGCTGGTGCCTTTCCCTGATGCCCAGGAGTTTTAAGTGTCTGTAGGAGAACATATTACCCTTCCATGTACCCTACTCCTCTGGCTATGTGCCTGTTGGACAGTAAAGCACTTTGCTGCTTGGTTTGCTCAGGTGGGACAGACCTTAAGGATGGCAGTGGTACAAACAGCATATGCCAATGGGAGTTCAACGCGCTACCTTGAGGAAACACTGAAGGTATTCTCCATTTTTTTTCCTGGGAGTTTTCTGCAAATGTTGTTTACTGCAAATTTGTTTACTTTTGAAATAAATGCTACTGTAATACGATTGCTAGGAAAATTTAAACTGGGCTAAAATAAATGATTCTTTCAAGCTGCAATAGTGACTAAATTTGTTGTGGTAAAGAAGATGCAAGGGAGCAAGGCCGAAAAAGTTCTGGTCAGCTTTTACTAGTTTAAAAAAAAAGTTTGGCAAAAGCTAAACAAAATCCCTTGTTACTTCTGGAACAAGTTGAGGACTCTATGGCTTTGCAACAAAGTGCATTGGTAAAGCCTCCTTGATACTTTGATGCTGATGGTTTAATTTTCTGCAACAGGCTCCAGGTGTTCACTGCAGAAATTGAGCTAAGGTATTTCAGTTTGGATAGAAATCTGGTACGTTCCCTGAAGCTATAAACATGAGTTGGGGGTTTCTATTGGTTTGTGGGTTTGTTTGTTTATTTATTTTCTTTTTAAACCAGCCTTTCTTTCCATTTAAATGAATGAAACCTTTTAAATGGGGTCTGCAGAAATAGTGGCTAATTTTAGTTCTGGGGAGGCAGTAGTTGTGAAACACAGGTTAGTGTGTAACAGTCTACTTGGGTTGGTGCTCGGCTCCTGGCACTTCACCCGCTCTGCTGAGGGGTGTCCATACCACTGTTTACATTCGCTGCATATCCTTGGGCTGCAGGTACCTGTGCACTGCGTCAAAACAGGAGTGAAACACTTGCATCACAAGGCCAAGGAGTTTGATGTTGGTGTTTATTTTGAAGCAAACGGACATGGTACAGTAAGTATGAGCATGTAATGCATAAGGTCAGCCAATATGTACAAAATTTTAGTTGAATTAGCTGGGTAAGGAAGACTTTCCACTCTCTACTTGCATTTATAAACAAGAATTTTCTCTCCTTATTTGAGAACATACTTGTTTCCCCCATCTGTCTTTATCATAGCATTGCCACCAACTCCTCTGTGTTTTGTGTGGGGATGGGAATTCACGGTGGCAAACATTAATGATGGTTATTTGGGCTTAAATGGTAAAAGTTTCTCCTTATTGCTGCATGTATCCTAGTTTGTGATGAGGGCTGATCTTGACAGGCTCTCATCTTTTTTTATTCTAGGTATTATTCAGTAAAGCTGCTGAAACTAGAATAAGACAGCTGGCAAAAGAGGAGAAAGATGATGAAAAAAGGAAAGCAGCAAAGATGCTTGAAAACACGATTGACCTGGTTAATCAGGTAAAAACCAAGAGAAACAAATCACCATGTTGACAGTCACGGTGCTAACCCTGCTTGTGGGTGCCTGTCAGGTTCCTGCCAGGGACTGCTGGAGCAGGAACTAGGGTGCCGTGGTAGAAGGGGCCAAGAAGAAAAGGGCAGGAGCTGTCTTCTTTAGAAAGATGTAATATTTTCACATGAGTGGATACAGAATGCTTTTATCTAGTGCAGTCTTCTGGCTTCAGGACCCAAAGATGGAGTGGGCTAGCATGTGAACCTAGGGCTAGGGTGGCGCTTGCTCATGATTCAACAGCAAGTAATATTTCATCTGCTGGTTTTCACTGACTTATGCAGTATGGGAGGGTGGGGGTGTCTCAGCACAGATGTTATTCAGCTGGGGTGGTGCCTAATCATACCTCACAGGCCAGCTTTAACCATTCTGACCCCAGAACAAAGCTGAGGGGCCAGTCTTCCTTAGGAGAGGTGGGGCCCAGCACTTGCCCTCGGCAGAGCTGTAGGAGCAGGCTGCTGGTCTCCTTACCACAGGGTCGGCATGGTAAGGAGGAGAACACAAAACACCACCCCCAAACCAACCAGCCGCTCAGCTACCCCGACTGAGACAAGTCAGCCTGGCTGCGTTGTCGCTCTCTTCAGCTGGAAGGTTACTGATGAAATTATGCCTTTGTTTCTTTGCTGTTGACTGCTCCAGTGTTTCTTCCCTTCCTGTTAACAGACGGTTGGTGACGCTGTCTCAGACATGCTGGTTATTGAAGCAATCCTGGCTTTGAAAGGTCTGAGCGTGCAACAGTGGGATGCCATCTACACCGACCTCCCCAATCGGCTGCTCAAAGTCCAGGTGAGTTGCACACCATGCAGGCTCTTGGGGCGCTGCTGTGAGCATCTCTTGCCTGCATATATATTTAGATAAGCTTTATTTTAAAGCTGAAAAAGCCCAGTAAAGGGCAGAAGTAGGTCAAACAAGCCCAGAAACAACCCAGAGGAAGGACCAGAATTTCAGTTGGACTAAAATAACTTCTAGAAATGATGAAGTAATAGCTAGCTGTGTTAAGTGGAAAAACCTGACCAAAACTGTTCAAATTTTAACTTAAAATTTCTTTCTTAACTTTCAAATTAGAAAAATCCCATTTTTCTAAGGCTCCTGCCTGCTGGGCAGCTGGATAGGTCCTGCTGTGCTGTTTTGTGTAACTTGAATATTCAAGCCCTTATTTCTTTATCTTCTCCAATATTCAGAGAGCTTGAGCAGAACAGGATCCCACATGGTAGCATGTTAGACACAGTAATGGAGCTTTGGAATCTGAATTAACCAGAGGATAGAGCTGAAGCTTCCTCATCTACTGGGAGAAGCAGCAGCTTCAGTTCAGAGGCTGACCCTTTTTTCAAACCAAGTGGCCAAGCCCTGTCAAGACTCAGTTAATGGATGCTGGGCAGTAGCTGAGTAGGGATCCTAAGGATCCCAAAGTGTTTAACCAGGGAACTCCCAACGTGAGCTCTTCTTCAGGCAGGGCAACATGGCAAAACCTGAAGTTCTGTCTTACCTGTGACCTTTTTTCATTCTGCTCTCATCATGCCCTTCCAGCACATAAATAAATTGGCTGTTTCTGATGCTGCAGGTTGCAGACAGGCGAGTTATTGACACGACGGATGCAGAAAGGTGTGCAGTTACACCTCCAGGACTACAGGAGAAAATTGATGCGCTTGTAAAGAAGTACAAATTGTCACGATCATTTGTCCGCCCGTCAGGAACAGAAGATGTTGTTAGAATATACGCTGAAGCAGACACACAGGTCAGAGCGTTAACAAGTTGTACATGAAGTGGATTTGTTAATATTAAACAATCTTCTGCCTAGCATTGGGTGATGGAGGGAGAAGTATATTTACGTACTTTTTATGTAATCAGGTGCTAAATTTGGAAAAAAACCTTAGTATTTATGAAAGTGATGTTTAATGTTTTCAATGTTTAAAATTAAGTTAAATGTTTATAAAGATAGATTTGACACTAGAAGATTTTGAAAAGAAAATCAGCTTTCTGAGAACTCAGGGTTAAGAAAAAAATTACCAAAGCAGTCCCTAATGGCATGATTTCATAAGAGGCAAAATAAAAAAAAAACATGTGCGAACTTTAGTCCACATCCAAACTTAAAGCTGACAGCAAAAGTGCTGGTTCTGCTCTTCCCCCTTCACGTGCTCCTGCCTGCTTCTTCCTGCCAGCACCACCCCCAGTGGCAGAGGGAGCCTCAGGGTGACAGAGCAATAGAGGGAACACAGCATTTGCAGGAAAACGCTTGCCTTATCACATATTTGCTCTGACCTTCTGAAGCTGACACAAGTGTCACTAACTTTTAAAACATTCCACAGGAGAACGCAGATGCCCTCGCCCATGAAGTAAGCCTGGCTGTTTACCACCTTGCTGGTGGAAAAGGAGCACCACCCCAGCCTCTATAAGGAATGATACAACTGCAGTTAAAAGTTTGTAACTTGACTTATATTTTAATATTACCTTGTTTACCATTTGCTAGCGTGGACATACCCAAACTCCTGAGAGGAACCAAGACTAACCAGAACCGAGCAGATTATTGTTCTGCTTATTCTTTACCTCTTGTAGCAACTTACCTCTTAATGAGATGTTCTTGCTGCTGAATGTTCCCTCCTCCCCCTGCCCCCCCCCAAGGTTGTCAAACTTCTGAAGCTGAAGTGACTTAGAGGCAACTGACTTCTTGACAGTCGGTAGCCTGGTCACAGCCAGAAGGAATTTTGCCCCTGCCCCCCCAGCTTACTGTCACCTTGTACCTGAAGTCTGACTCCCCCAGCCTCAGTACACTCCCAGTAACTGCAGCACAGCACAGTGCCGCGGAAACATCCTCCCCACCGCTTCCCCCAGCAACCCCCGTGGCTGTGGGCAAACAGGATAAGGCAGGGGCTGGCACAGGTCCCCAAATTCAGGTCACCACAGTTCACAGGGGAAACAAAATACTGAAAAAGAGCATTTGCAAATACTAATGTATTATTGCAATACTATCTTCATTAGATACTTACATGAAATTGAAGTATTGCTTAGAAACTAATTAGCAGTAATAATATTTATAATCACTTTTAAGAGGGAAGGGACAGAGACAAGTTTGTTTTCTGTGGCCCTTTCTACCCCCCAGCAGTGTGAAGGGGCAGGGCCTAGGGGATGAAATGTTTTAAATACACAAGTGTCCTCTTCCACATTTTTCAGTTCAGGGTATCTGTCTCTGACAAATGTATTTTTCATTATAATCCTGTATTAACTCCTGGCATAAGGGCATTTTCCAGATTGCTAAATCCAATGGATAAAAGACAAAATAAACTGGAAACAAATTGAAAAAATGTGCACCTTGTATTTTTTAGGATTTTTTTTTTAAAGACAGAACTCAAGACAACAAAACATGTACTGTAAATAGTAGGCACCATAATCAATATGAGCCACCAATATTTAAACTTGATTCAGGCCACATCCAGAACTTTTCTCTTATTTACAAATATTTAACTTAAATACAACATTAAGTATTTCATTACATACAAAGTAAGAAAAGAAAACTATACAACTGGTAAAGATACAGTATTTCATTTAAATAGATACACTACATATAAGCGGAGTAGTACCAGTTTGGTTCATGTTTTTATGACACCTTCAAGAAAATCCTTCTCAACCATTTCTTCTATCTTTTGTCTTGCTTTGCTGGAGAAGGTCTTGAGGTTCTCCATTTTTATGTCCTTACTTGGAAAACAGTTGGGGTAAAGGACAGGGCTCCCTGAGTGTCCAATGCATCTGCTTGTGACTTTGCTGTTAAAAACTTGGCTGAGTACATTGAAGAAAGGTAAAAGCTGCTCAATGCTGCGAACAGTGTAGATGGTTAAAAGCAAGTGACCTGGTTCCCAACTTAGTGTTTTCCCTGAGCTGTCCTCCTCTGGGTTTTTCTGTAAATATAGAGAAATGGGAAATAATACAGGACAAAACAGAAGAAGCACAGGTAAAAATAAAATACTAATACCGAATAAAGCATTTTTCTATATTTCAAAAATATTTGTCCTATCACCAAAACACACATATGCTGAAGTGCAGCTTTCCAAGCAGACCCCCTGCTCCTCCCCACACCTTGAAGCAGCGGTGGTTGGGGATGTGACACTAAGGGGAAAGCTGGGGTGGGCGTTGGAGTCCCCCCCTCAGCGCAGGGCTGCCCCGAAGCAAGGCAGCCCCCGGCCCGTGTAAACCACCCGAGCTGGCACCAGCCCAGGGTGCAGCCCCTTGGGTAAGCCACCTGCTACTGCAGCTGCTTTCCCCGAGCAGGCTGGTCTCCCCTAACCCTCATGCTTCACCCTACAGCCAGCATTAGGGACAATAAACCCCCGAGGAAGTTAAAATAGAAACAAAGCATTTTCACTTTGAAGGTCTAGTTCAGAATTTTCAGGAAGAGCAAAAGCGGTGCTGGTTTCAGTATCGGAAATAACACACACGGAGGCTCTGAGCAAGCACTTGAAGGTGTCCTCAAAAGGAAAACAGCTCAGTTACTCAGTGAGCCTTCTTGGAAGACCTCGGTTATGCACCTTCCATTTCATGGGGGGAATTTCAAGGGAGAGAATTTCAGGAACCCCACCAGCAAAGGCAACAGTCACACACCAGATGCTCACGGGCAGTGTCAGGGCACTGCTGTAACCCTGTTTCAGGTTGCCTTAAAAATTTGTGTACCAAAATACCCGAGCACTAACATCCAGCTGCTTACATGGTACTCTCCACTCATTTCCTTTTCTTTCTTTGAGTCAAAAAGAGATGTTCAAATCTAGACAATAAGATACTATCACCACCAGAAGCACCTTGTTTCGACTGTTACTGACAAACCCTCTTCTACGGTGAAGCAGAGTTCCAGCAAGACTGGTTTTTATTCTGTAGGGAAAGTGAAAAGCAGCACAAAGGCCACATCAAGGAGAGTCACCTCCTGATCCGCCCCTGACCAGCACCTCCCTCCCGCTGCCCTGGCAGTGCCTCTGCCGAGGCAGGGGTTCCAGACCCCTCCAGGTGGCACAACTCCTGAGAAGCAGGCTTTGTAACACAAGAAGAATGCAAGGGGAAGAACAGCAGTGGGAGCAGAGCATAAGATAAGGATTACTGATTGCACAGCCTTTGGGCAATCAGATTTTCAAGAGATGATACTTTAGCAAATACAGTTTTTTGCCCTTTAAATGAAGCAACTGTCTTGCGATACAGGAGCCTACATGACATCCGTTTCCCAAAAGCCTATTAGGTTAAAATTAAATATAATCTGATTTTGTGTTTTAATCTGGCGGTTTGGCTCCCTGTCACATGAGATTACTATGCTAGTTCTACAAGTCTCAAGGAAAGAAAGGCTCATAATGAACTAGAACAAAGGGAAGACTGAATTCCAACACCGAAAGAGTTATTGATGCCTCCTACTTTAAAATTTTGAAGTTTACCCTTTAAAAACTTCCAAACCATTGGATTCACAGAAGAGAGGCTTTGGGGTACCAGTTCTCTACTGTGCTGAGTGTGACCCAGCGGTGAGCACAGACTACCTCAGGCATGCAGCGAGCGTCAGGGTTACGCAGCAGCCAGCCAAACAGGTGCACGTGCAAATACTAATTCTCCCTCTGAGCAATGAAATACAAACCATCCAAGCCATTTCCTCACACAGTATCTGCTAAGCAAACACCACTGATTCCTCAGATACTTAAAACAACAGTTACTTTGACAGAGATTAATTAGGTATTGTGTTTCACCCCTGCCGTTTGGCACAAATTATTTTCTCATTTGATTTTAGAATGATTTGTGACCATAATTCTTCTTAGAACTAACATTAAATTTTTGCAATCTATTTCATGTAGGAAACCAACTTAAAAATAAATTTTTAAATTATCTATAAAAATAAGGGCCCTCATGATTCTTTCACTTCAAAAATCTCTCAACTTTGTCCTCTAACGAGACCGATCTCTTTCAGTTCTTGCTGAAAGCTAAATACTGCCCAGGTCCTTGAGGTGATGGTATTATTATGGCGAGCTTATTTCACAACTCAAGCATCAAAGGCCACCCTCACCTGATGCTTGGCCATCTCCATTCCCTCCAAAACCACCGTCTTAAAGTCCTCCTGCTTGTCCTGTGGAAGGAAAGAGGAGAACTTTCAGACTGCATTTCATATATCAAAATAATACTTTGCCGTGAAGGCCGTGCAGTTGCTTGGTTGGGTGCTCTGCTTCAGCTAGAAAAATCGCCTACCCCAAAGAGTCCATGGTCCAGAAACAGCAGACAGGAGCTCGCGGGGCCTGGACACTGTCAGACAATAACAGCACTGCCAGTTTGTTCTTCTGTTTATTGCCAGTAGTGCCGAAGGAGGTTTTTAAGCACATTTCCTTCAGACAACAGAGCCTGAGCAACACCGTACTACATGAATCTGAGCATTAGTTAGAGTGCCCTGAAGGAAAATTAAGATCCACTGGAACATTTTGCTCAGAAACAGGTGATTTTTCAAGAAAAATCCACAGCTGTATGCAACAGTATTCTCCTCCGCACAAAGAAGAAATGGCCTGGAAGTCAATATTCATTACCTCATGTTTATCTCATCATCACAGCCCCAGCTACGGTTCACAGTGTGCAACTGCTGCTGTGACTAGGGGGTTCCAGAAATTCCAGAAAGTTTTCTATATTCCTGAAGCATGCTGTGGAAGTCCTGACTTCAGGCATCTATCTCAACATACAGTACTTACCAGCATGTGTATTTTATACATCATATGGAATTTATAATTAATGCAGAGATTATTCGTAGGGTGCCAACTTTCTAACAAGTATAGTACACTACACTGAACATCAGGGTTAGAGGCTATGCCTGAATAGCAGTCAGTTAAAACTAATTCATTCATGTGAGAAGAGAAATTTTGTCTCATCTTCATGGTTCAAAAACAATAAAATGAAGAATGCAGATGTGTTTCAGATATTTGTTTTCTCCCCTACAGTTGTGAGCCTTGCTTGAATACTTCAGATTTGCCTGCAGCTAAGTCATCCCTAAATTTTATGTATCTGCTTGTATTTCAGCAGTGGTTTCTTTAATCAGTGAAAACATTCATTAGAGATTGTAAATGCAGTAGATACAGCAAGCTGCCAGTGTCACAGCCCTGACAATGCCATCTACTTGGACGGAAACCCAAGAACGGAACTTAGAAGCTTTCTCCCATATGGCTTCAAGCTTTCCCTGACCCACCCAGCAACCCTTCCCAGCGAAGTGCCTGCCCAGGGAGGCTCTGTCCTCACAGCAGAAGCAGCAAAATGTTTGCCAGCATTTTTCTTTCTTTGTGGCAGCAGAAGGGAAGGGACAGGGCTTGACCAGCTTCCATCAGCTTCATCAGTGGATCAGGCCTCCACCCACCCAAACTAGAGTTTTAAATACTTCATGTACCAACATAATGACAACTCTAATTCTGCTTCACTCTACCAACTGTGCAGCCAAGATTTCCCCAGAACTTCTTTCTACTGCTCTCTGCCTTCTTCCACTCACCAGAACTGCTTCAGGGAAGAAACCCAGTCCTCCCTGGCTCTGCACAGTATCAAAACTCTTGGTTCTACCACTTTTAGGAATGCAACAGTTTCCTAAATACTGAAATGTGATTCTTAACAAAAATGTTTTTCTACTTCAAAAGGCAGTTAGTTATACTAGTATCTACATACCTAACTGGCTATCTGAAAGTGATTTTATGTTAAAATATGTAAACAATGAAGCATATTTTATTTTACTCAACACTTTTAAATGGAAACTCCAAATTCACTGACCTTAGTCTTTTTTTTTTTTTTTTGCCATAGCAGGTTTGGAGTTTTTCTGTTTGGTTTGTTTGTGTTTGGGTTTTTTTTTGTTGGTTTGTTTTTTTTTTGGCTTACATACATACATGTGTTTTTTGCCTGATGCTGACTTGACATTACTCCAGAGGGAATCTCCCACACCAGATAAATTCCTTTCCATTCTTCATTGTTAAAAAAAAAAAAAAAAAAATCCAAAACTAAACAGTCCTGTAAGTTACAGAACATGAATGTTTTCAATGAAAAGCAAAACTAGAAGAAAGCCACATACCTTTGCTTTTTTTCGCAGCAGTTTTGCTAAACGCACCACATACGGTTTGAATTCCCTCTGATGCGTACCTTGCCTTCGCACTTCCAAGCCTGAATCATCTGATGCTTCTGGAATAAAAGCCCAACGATACCTGTCATGAGGTAACACAAGCAGACATTATCCTTACTGAACATTCAGGCTTTTCTGCTAGATCTAAGAATACGAGTGGATGAGGAAACCTAGTTAAGTATCAGAGAGAGGCAGGGGAAAACCCAAACCCAA